TTTCTTTGCTCTTATAAAACAGATTACCAAAAACCGTGCAGGGCAAAAGCACAGAATGACCCACGCACACTAAAGCAAATAAAAAGATATTAACCATTAGCCCAACTTACCCCAAGTAAACACAGAAATACACCAACTATGGGTGTAAGTCTATATGTGTGTATATACAAGCAATTATAAACATAAATTCATCTGTTAATATTAATTCCTTTTTTCACTGCAAAAAGCAGTTCATCATCATCACAGTGCAAGCCCAGGTGCACACACAGAGAGAGTCTCCAAGAACACACACACAATATCCCATGGCTCTAGTTTATGCATTAAATTACTGCACACACATACTCATGTGTACTAGCAAGAGATGTATACCGTCAGTGAGCAGAACAGCCCAGGTTTCTGCAACAACACAGAACGGGAAAAGCAAGTAGTGGAATTATTAGAAAAAGAACACACACACACAAAAATAAAAGAAAAGATATTATAATTAAAAAAGAAAGCTGGTAAACAGATTATTAGTTCATTCACCCATGGGGGATGTACGCAATTATGATTGTGTAAGGATAACCATTATTATTATTTGACCTCAGATGAGTCCCACCGTTCAGTACACAGTGGCAGAGAACAACAACGCCACAATCAGTAGCGGTGCTGCAGTGCGCATCCACACAGGACTGACACTGCTGTCAGCGTTACCCTTATTGTTCTGCATAGTGGGAGCGATGGTGTTGGTGCTGATCTTTGCGTTAGGTACAGGAGATGGAGATGAAGAGTTGGTTGGTGCTTCGCTGTTAATGTTGTTGGTGGTGGCTGCAGAAGCATCGCCATTTCCTTCAGAGACTGCGTTGGCAGGAGGAAATGTTGTTATTGTTGTTGTGGTGGTGGTTGTCGTTGAGTCAGTATTGGTATTCTCTTGTGAACCATCTGTGGAAGTCGCACCTTCAGGAGATGGCTCCTGGGTAGTATTAGAGTCACCAGGTGCACGGTGATCCTCTGTAGTATTCGCTGATCCTTGGTGTTCTTGTGGTGCTT